GTGAAAAAAGATTTGAAACTGAAAAAATAAGATTTGAAACTGTAAAAAATAAGATCTGAATCTGAAAAGATAAAACATGCAACTGAAAAAAATAAGAAAAAATAGAAAGTAATGTTAAAATATATATGGAAGTGAAAAGTAAAAATAAATTATTCATTCAAAAGAATTACCAAAGTGAATCAAAATTATATTTAACCTGAAAAAATGTTTCATATACTTATTTTCATTTTGAATACATTGTTGTATTTTTCAAAATTCAAGATCAACACATGAATTTTCAGTTTCAAATTTTATTTTTTCAAGTACAAAACATTTGACCCTAATGTAGCTCCATACCCACCCGCTGTCAGAAGTGATAGGTGCTTGTCAGCATTTGTCGCAACAATTGGTCAAAAAGTCTTTTTTTTGTAGATTCAAGACGTGATTAGTTTGTTTCACTTTCCGCCCCGCCCGCCCCCAAATCAGCGTGCCTGTAAACTGAAAGCAGCTTGGTTGTGGAGAGTCAGGTGGAACAGAGAGCAGAGGGTGTGTACATGTGCCTGTGTGTGCAGACTAGCGCTGTTACAATGGACCAACCACAGGTGGGTTGCAGCGAAGGCTGAAACAGTTTGGGGACCCCTCTTAAGGATAGGCTCTTATCTGTCTAAGTTCAAAAGTTTTCAATATCTATCTAATGTTACTGAAATAAGATCAGATAGGTTGAAGTTGCTGCTGACTTATATTTTTACTTGTTTTACTGTTGCATTGAATATGAATGTTGCCATATTGATTATGATAAGCTGACATCAAAATGATTTCCTGACAAAATAATACAATCATGTTGTTTAGTTCAGCATAATTCCCATTCATATAGGAGTCCTGGTTTATTGAGGGGCACATTTGGTGAGGGTAGGGAAGAGAAAAGCACTGGACTGGAGGACTATGAGTAGGGTTGCTGTTACAGTTGTGTTTAATAGAGTTGTTGGGCTCTAGTTTCCCGGCACGGCGCAGGGTGGCGCAGGGTGGCGAACCCCGCGCAGAGCTAGTTTCGAGCAGTGCAACCCGAGGCGCGCTCAGTTTGGTAGTTTGGCAGACCAAGGTGTGCTGAGATGGGTGTGGCGGTGCAGCAGGGGGAGGTGTCGACAGATCCAGCTTGGCGCAGTGACAGTTTCGTGCCAAAAGGCTTCGCCAAAGGTGCGCTAAAAGCTCGCCAGCTGAAACCAGGTCTACTGTCAGCGCAGGGGGAGCGCAGCCGGTGTAAGCCTAAGTTTGGCTGACCGGCGGACAGTGCGCAATGCAATGCAATAAATACCCAAAAAAACCACTATTCAATGCAACTATCTGCAATCAGCACATAAATATATCTCTGTATCGACTGTCCCGTCACATTTGATGTCAGATCAAAGGGGACTGGCACCGTTTGGCACGTTTGGCACGCGTAATGGAAACCCAACCTGATTTAATTAACACAGCTGCAAACTAATGAGTTCACTTCCCTCTCAGCCAACCACAACAGCCACAGCATCAGATAGGGAGTATATATTCAGCATCTGTCATCTTAGAAAAGTAAAAAAAAAAGAAACAGAGTGAGACTGCGAGAGAGAAAGAGAGAGCGCACATGCGCACGAGAGAAACGCAACATTAATTTACAATTGTGGTGACCTCCTCCCAGGCTACCTTTGCATCATCAGTCCGTGGAGGTCTGCTCGCAGTTCCGTATATTCGGACACTGCGAGCAGACCTCCCGGACCAAAACATCAGTTTCCTCCTGGGATAAGTTTGGCCGTCTGGCGCTGCTGCTCTCTTCTGCCATGGCGAATTGAGTAAACTCTCATTACGCCTTCGTGTGGCACATTTAAGGGTGAGTAGAGGGGCTCATTTGATTGCTGTGATGTGAAATGGGCTGTGTAAAACCCACTCCATGCTTTCTTTCCTCCCTCTTTCCGACTTGCGCCGGTAAGAGGGACGGAGGTGGGATAGAGGAGTAGCTGCGCCAGGGCGCACGGTGTGCCAAACTTACAAAATCCGCCTGGCCACACCCAGTTGGTGAAGCGCAGGTGCGCTGCGCCTCCGCCGCGCCCGCTCTGCGAAACTAGAGACCGTTGTGTGACTGTTAGTCTGGAATAATGAGCTTTGGTGATTACTTAGCCCATATGTGTGTCTGTGTGCACATGCACTTGTGTGAGCATGTAATGTGTGGATTGTAGGGGTGGGGGAAATTTCCGATTCTTAGATGCATTGCAATTCGGACGTGGACGAATCTGAATCGATTCACAAACGTCCAAATTTCGATTATTTAAATCTGTTAATTAGAGTAATACAGAAGGTTCTAAATAATGCGGAACTAAGAAGCGCGGTACGTGTCATCTCCGGGACACTTTGGGATGCGCACCTGGAGCAGACACGCCGACACGCGCACAGAGGAAAACAAACATGGCTGACCGCTACCCACCTCGCTGTGAGAGCTGAACAGCTTCTTCTAATTTAAAAGCAGATGTGTGGAAATACTTCGGCTTCTACAACTTTGACGGCGGAAGCGAACTGGACAAGAGCCACGTTATATAAGCTGTGTCGTGCTAAAATAAAATACTTTGGCAACACAACAAACATGAGAAGCCATGTAACTTGATTCCACCTGACGGAGGAGTCAGGGAGACGGCAGGCTGTTGTTGCTGCGGCAACTAGTGGCGCTACCGACCAGAGAACAATCGAGGAAGCAATTACAAAGCTGCCACCCTCATCAGAAAGGCGAAGCGAATTACGAAGGCCATCGTGGCATTTATTGCCAAGGATTTGCGTCCTTATTCTGTCGTGGAAAATCAGGGATTTCGAGCACTGCTGCATACACTGGAGCCCAGATACACCATCCCATCCCGACGCTATTTCACCGACACTCTACCATCAAACCAAAACAGAAGTCATGGCCTCACTGTTGAAGGCAGGTAGGAATGCAGTTACATGTGATGCGTGGACGTCTGTCGCCACCGAATCATTTGTTACTCTAACTGCGCATTTTATCTTGTGATTTAAGATACCTGTTGTTACCTTTGGTTCCGTACAACAAAGTTGTAACTTTCCAGTTTGCAAGCATTTCCATTTATATGTTTAATAAAATATAATGGAAATGAATTCAACTCTTTCTTATTACAAATGCACTGTTTTTAAAAATTGCAAGTGTTGAATGCTTATTCAGTGAGACAAAAAGAAATGTGTGTTGTGAAAAAGTGCATCAATATACATAAATTAAAGATGCATCAATAATCATTTTATAATCGAATTGTAGCCCCTGAATCGTAATCATAATCGAATCGTGAGGTGCCCAAAGATTCCCACCCCTAGTGGATTGGGTGGCCTGGGTGGATGTATGACTCCCAGCCTGAATTTTTGTCCCAGTCCGGCCCTGCTGCTTCATATCATGTGAGATGAAATGGGACCAAAGGAGCCTGCTACTACAACACAGTAAAATATTAATAGCATGGATGTAAACAATATTCTGTAGTCTTATAACAGAAAATGTAGAAATGCTGAAAATACTATCCAAAAAGACACCATCGGGCCAGTCTTAAATTATATGTAGGTATCACTAGGCTTTATGTGACAGAGACAGAGAATATGAGAGTATTTTTTGCTACTTAGTCTACTTAGTTGCATGATGATGAATATGTCACATAAAACACTTTTAAGTAATGCCAAACTGTTTCTGCAATGAAAGTAAAGGGTGGAAAAGTATCTTACTTAAAGAATGATGAGGTCTATCAGATCAAAATGTTACATTTATAATAACAGAAGCCAATTAACAGTGTGTGGATTATTTTTAAAAAATAAATATTTTTTTTTACCTAGTTCTTATCACACAGGTGTCTCATGTTATTCTGAGTTGCAGTGACGGGAATCAGAGTGTAAAATGGCAACACTTTCAGTTATCACTGTGGACTAAAATAAATTTTTCATAAATTAAAATAGTGCTAAAATCATACGTTTAGTGTTGTTAACTATTTCTGTGTTTGTTAAAAGCTCTGTTTTAAAACAAATAGATCCCTGCAACAATAAAATGACCTACAATTGCTACTGACCTCTAACAAAAATTTTTTTTTTTCTTTCTTTCTTTTTTTTTTTTTTAACAGAGACTCCAGACTTTTGTCCATAGATACTCTTTTCTTCAGTGATCTGATAAGTCAGTGGTCAGGGTGTTGACAGGCTGTGATCCAATACCCTAAAGTTAATCTACTCCGGAGCAGGTTAGCTGTTCAGCATACAATGCCACGGTGATTTATCACGGTAAAAAGAGAACCAGCTTTGTAGTACTGAAAACCCAGACTTAACCCTGAAGTTACCTCGCTAACTCCAAATCCTGCTTCATAGTACAGGCCTCTGTTCAAACTTGTCAATGCAACAAACACTCAAACACCTCTTTTACTGTTCTCGTCAGTGACATGTCCACAATTGGTGGAGCAGACAGAAGTATTGATATGCAATGAGCTGATTAGGGTGTGTTTACATCTATTTATGGCTAACTCTGGCAGTGGAAATTGGATGAATGCCACCCAGTTCTGCAATGACTGAGATCTGTACAAGAGAACCATATGTACTTGAGGCTTTGTAAACCTGATGAAGAGAATGTGTATGGCTATTTCTTTTTTTGGTTGTCTACACAGTTTTGTGCATCGGACTCAGAAACTTCAATCAGATTTGAAAAGCGGCCAACACGAAACTAGTGCTAATTTTTTTACTATTTTTTTTTTTACTTGGTATCAACATAATATTGCAGTATATATTGAGACACATAGCGTGACAAAATGGAAATGTTTAGTTGTTGTGGACAGATATGGTTCTAAGGATTTGAAATTATGCTTTTGTTATCTCAGTTCTTCACTACCTTTGTGTAATCTGAACTACATGTTATATCAGGTTTACATGGCAGCCTTTGTCTTTATAAAATGGTGAGGTGGCTGTTTGAGTTCAGTATGTATATGTATGTATGTGTATGATTGTTGTCATGTGTCCAGCAGTGTATATTTCACCTTTCAGTTGAGTGCCTGCCAGCTTCTCTTGTTTCAGCAGGAAGCCGTATCCATCGTGCCCTTTAACCAGATGCATGGTTTTGGCAGTGTGAGGGAGGCTGCAGCATTCTGACACCACAGGCAGAATGGGCATCTTCCTCCTGACATTGCAAGACTCACTTTCACTGTCAATGACCAGCACTGTCACTGAGTCCCCACTCTTCTTCACCTGAGAACCAAACACACTGCAGGAGTCACACACGTCAAGTTGAAAAAAACACACAAGTGAGATGTGCGGAAATTGGATTCATACAATTCTGTTGAGAGTGGAATGTGTGAGTGTTGACACCATGACTCCGTTGAGCCAGATCAGTCTGTCTCCAGTGCAGACACCAGCTTTCTCTGCTGGACCATCAGTCACTGTCCTCACCATGTACTGACCCTTCTGACCTGGTGACACACAGTAACTATTATCATAATCATCATTATCATCAGTGGGATGCCATATAAAACTGTTGTCAGCTGTTAATAAATGATTAGGCTACTTACTAATGTGATTTTAGGAACTAAGTATCTATGTAGGGGTGGAACAATGAATCCAGTGATTCTACTGTATGATCAAGCTTCATTAAGGAATAGTCCAAGATTTTTGGAACTACCTCTGTTGTCTTTCTTAGAGTGAGATGTTCAGATCCATCTCATGTTTGTGTGTAAGTACAGACCTGGAATAAGGATGTGTTCAGCCTAACTTAGCATTAACACCAGCAGCAGGGGGAAACAGCTTGCCTGGCTCTGTCCAACGTTCAATAACACATCTACCAACACCTCTAATTGTGACAGTTCGTACTCCGCGTTAATTTCGTCCGTATTTCTGCACGTTTCCATAAAGCTTACGGATACAGGCCAAACGGAGCAGTACCACCAGGAACCGTGGGGGCAGTGTTGCTGTCACTACCCAATACGTAGCTCTAGTGAGACATGAAGATGAAATAACACTTCAATTTCTCTCATCGGCAGTACTACAGAAAAGAATTCTCCATCCTCCAGTCGCGATGTATTTAACGGCCTCACCAACCACCGCCTCCTACAACACTGCCTCTGTTTTTGTCTTTTATGCAAGAGGTACATTATCAATATCTCCTCCACAGTCGCCATGTTTGTTTTTGAGTTTGTTTTTGTCATAAACTTTTGATTTTGGGCTGCCTCCTGGTGGATATATTGGTTAACATCCATGCCAACTTAAAGGGTGCATGGAAGTATGTGGGCAGTGACGGTAACATCGTTTGAAACAGACGTATACATTTTTGTACGTAAAGGGAGCATAAATGAGCCCTCAGTTGTCACAGTTTTAAACCTCACAACCAAACCTCACAAAGGACATACACTTTGAAAGAATATACACCCTCACATTGAAAAGCACATTCAATAAACAACAACACACAGCTTTTAAGTTGAACGGTATGTATTCTCTTATAAATCAAACTCAAAATCCCACAGACCTAAAGTTCATAACAAAATTCAATCCAACTCAAACTCCCATACAAAATTGTTTGTTTTCTGCTCATGAAAGGAATTCAACGTCATGTCACAGTGTCAGTCAGTCCAGTCCAGTCAGACTCAGCTCCAGTCCAGCTTTATGGCTGCTGCATTGCTTGCTGCTGGTTGTGGAGAGTTACAGGCTTCCGTGTTTGACTGAGTGGCGGAGTGGAAATGAATTAAAGTGATCCGAGAGAGTACAGCTTCAGCGGATGGAAACAGCGTTTGAAACGGTAGATGAAGGCAGGATATAAGGAATTTGAAAGAAACATAGTTCCTGCTCACAGCAAACTGAGTTATGGAATAAAAAAGCAGATAAGTAATACGCCACACCCAGACACACTAATCAAACACAAACCAATCTTCAGGGCTTGGTTAATACAGAGCATATGCACCTGCTAGAAACACAATGCAAGTTAAGACTGCAAACAGTGACAAATGGGCCTTTTTACCTGCCCACATGTCTGAGTCCTGTACTACAAAGCCAGTTAAACTTACCCAGGATATCTTTTTGTTATCTGGTTTGACGAACCCTAACGCTGGCCGTCTGGATAACCAGTACTATAAAGCTGGTTATCAACTAGTTCAGTTAACTCTGGGTTTTCCTATCCAGCAACAAGCATGTTCATGTGAAAGAGGCAAGGGTACTGATTGCGAGCAACATCATCAGAACCATGAATGAAGTAGACTACTTCATATCGTACGAGATGAAACAGTACCAAAACTGTCTGGCACTGGGAGACAGTAATATGTAAATGGTGTGGGATGTAAACAGTATACTGGATGACATAAAATGTAAAAACACTACCCAAAAATTCACTGTTGGCTTCAACTTAGATTACATGCAACAGGCCTATGTGACATTAATATAGAGTATGTTTTACCGTTGAGTCGGATGATGATGAATATGTCAAATAGAACACCTAAAGTGTGAAAAAGTAGCCTGGTTAATGACTGATGAGGTCTCTCTGACCAAAATGCTGCATTTATAATACCAGGAGCCAACTAACAGTGTGTGGATTATTTTGCCAATAAAATATTATGTGTTTTATCCTAGTTCTCATCACATAGGTGTCTCGTATTATTTTGAGCTGCAGTGATGGAATCGGAGTGTAAAAGTAGCAGCACTAACACTGACTAAAATAAACAAAAGTAATTTCAAATAGTGTTGAAACTTAGTAACTGGAAATGACATGCAACTGTTCCCAAGAAACTCAGATTGCAGTTAAAAAGTGCTCTACAAAAAAGCCTCTTGGACCATAAAAGTCTGCAATGGTGGATTTTTTTTTTTTTGCAAATTTGCATGAATTCAAATAAACACAAGAAATTTGTGCTCTAGAGAAAGGATCAGCACACAGTGAATAACTTCCTAAGCCCTATGATAAGCTATTATGGCAAGGCTTAACTATACAGACCAATGAGCAGTGATAACTAACACGTCTTTGGGGTCATCAGGTGGGAACCTCCTTTCACCAGTGTTTCGTCTAGTTGGTCCCAGGAGGCTAGACAGTGATACTCCCCTAATGCCAGCTCTCACTGCTCCCCGCACCGACCCAACAACCTCCTTTACCTTATATTACACATGGTTTTCTCAGCCCAACCAGCACTGCCACCTTCAACAAACCCGGACTCCGTTTATGCGAGCTCCAGGTAGCGACCGTGCTAATACCACCTTTCCTAGCACATTTACCATACCCTATTTCACATGCTACATATCATAACTCCAATATAAGCTAAAGTTAAAGGGAGATTCAAATAGACCACTTTGCTCCTGAGAGGACTGGTTGGTGGATCTCTCCACCTGATCTCAAGGAGTTATGTACCCTGCCTAGTAGGTCCCCCTGCTGGCCCCCAACTGACATTATTCCCCCTCATCGAAATCCACTGACTAGATCTAGCTGCTTCATCTGACATTTCCTTCACTGTCTTCCTCAAACTCTGTCCCCGCACTCCGAGTTCCCCCAGGAACGAGACAGCTGATCTTGCTGTGAATCCCCTACACCCCACTTCCACTGGACAAATCCTAGTTTTCCACCTGCGGTGCTCAGCTTCTGCTCCTAATGCTGCATACCTAAGCTTTTTTCTTTCATAGGCTTCTTCCACTGAGTCTTCCCAAGGAACTGCCAGCTCAATGAAATAAACTATCCGTTGACTCACTGACCACAACACTATGTCAAAGACTTTATTTTTCAATTTTCCAATAAGCATCAATTATAACATAGGACATATGAACAATTCCAAGACAAAAACAACATACAAACAACAAACCCCACCCACCCACCCCAAGGCTCAAAAGAAGAAAAAGAAAGAAAGGGGCACAGAGACTATCTCTTATCATGAGAAAAAAAAGGGAGATGGGATAAAGAGGTCTACTGGAAGGGGATGCTTTGAATGAAGTTTACAAAAGGGCTCAAAGTTAAACTGAAATTCCTACGGTTTTTATCTATTCTTCCAACGGTAGCAAGGAAAGTACCTCTTTCACCCACTGTAAAAAAAATGGTGCTTTATCTGACTTCCAGTTGAAGAGGATAAGTCTACGGGCAATCAGAGATGCAAACGCTACAGTGTTTGCTTGCAATGTATTTATTTTACAATTGGGGTGTGGTATGTCAAATATAGTAGTGTAAAAATTAGGAATCATGGAATGTTCGCAAATATGCAAAAGTACAATAAATATATTTTCCCAGTAACCGTTAAGGGAGGGGCACATCCAAAACATGTGTCCTGTAGAAGCAGGGCTATGATTACATCTTGGACATCCAGGGTTAGTACTCAGAAAGATTTTCGCTAGTTCTCTTGAATAGTGTAGGCAATGGAGTACCTTAAATTGAATCAAACCGTGCCGCAAACACAATGAAGAGGTGTGAATGCGAGTTAGGCTCCCTCCCCATGCCTCTTCTGAAATTTCCACACCCAAATCCTGCTCCCAAGCCCGTCTAGTTTTATCCTATGAAACAGGCTTTAATTCTTGTAGTTTTGTATAAATTATAGATACCCGTTTCCTCTCAAAAGGATCTAGTTCCAAAATTGTATTTAATGGGCTTTTGGGTGGCAAATAAGGGAATGCTGGGAATATTTTCTTTGCACAGCTACAGATCTGAAGATATCTGAAAAAATGGTTGGTGGGTATGTTGTGGTTCTCCTTCACAGTATCAAAAGAGGAAAGGGTGTCTGTGTATATATTACTGAAAAACACCAGACCATTCCCATGCCAGTACTGGAATGCCCTGTCTAAAAGAGAAGCTGGAAAAAAAGGATTGTCTGCAATGGGAAAAAACAGCTGGCCTGTTTCAGACCAAAGTGTTTCCTAAATTGTAGCCATATTTTCAAAGAAGCTTTAATCACAGGGTTCTCTATCTGCACCTTGTGAGTATATGGTAACAAAGAGGTAAGTATTGGCAATGGGTTAGACAACAATTCCATCTGCGCCCAGTCAGTACCCTGTTTATTTTTATACGTAAAAATCCAATGTAGAAATTTAGCGATGTTTGCTGCCCAATAATAGCAAATTAAATTGGGAAGGCTAAGACCCCCTGCCTCTTTAGAAGCCTCCAAATATTCTTTCCTCATCCTCGGGTTCAAGTTGTTCCATATAAATGATGAAATTAACCTATCTAACTGTTGGAAAGTTGACTTCGAAATAAATATTGGGATCATTTGGAAAAGGTACAAATATTTAGGTAGTACTGACATCTTAACTATATTGATATGACCTACTAGTGACATTGGTAAAGCTGACCATCTTTTAAAATTGTGTTTCGTTTGTTCTACTAATGTTTTAAAGTTACTGTTATATAGCCTTGACATTGAATGCTTGACTTTAATTCCTAAATATGTGAAGGCATTTGTTTCAAGTCTGAACGGTAAGTCAGAATAATCACGGTCTGTTTTGTTAATTGGAAAAATTAGGCTTT